TATATATATATATGTATATATGTATATATATATATATATATATATATAGAGAGAGAGAGAGAGAGATAGATACATAAAATCTGTTTACTTTAACTTGATATGCAAAAATAACTAAAGCTAAAACTTCAATAAAATTAATAAACTATGTAACTATAAATCTATATATAGATTAAAAAAACACAATAAAATGACTAAAATTTTAACTAAAACTATCATGAAAACAAGATCTAAAAATAAAAAGGCATTCAAAAAGATTATTATAAAACAAAGCGTTCCGGTCCTTGATTCTGATTGGCTGAGCCACATTCGAAGCTGTCCACCAGCTGTTTGGTGGAAGAATACTGTTTGTATTAATATAATTACACTTTATTTGCTCTGTTGTGCCTAAAACCCCCTTAGCTGTTATAAATTCACTGTAAACCACGGCTTCTTGGAGCTTATTGCTTTAATAGTATGTCAGATATGCTAAAATAACACAGATCTTTATAGATGTGTTAGAGTGAATTCACTTTAATAGCAAACTATAATTGCACCTTAATTCTATTTTTAGACACTAAAATCGATTTCGTTATATTTAGAAACCTTTAAAAGAGATCCAAAATTGAACATTCTGTCATCATTTTATTCACCCTCATTTTATTTCGAACTCATATGCAGGCTTATCTTTTCCACACAATAGCAACTCAGGCTGTCAAGATCCAAAAATGTATCACAGAGATGAGCCCATTCAAACAATATGGAGAAATTGTTGTTATATTCAAACTCATCTGATGCCACTAGCTGTATAGCATCTCTGTTATCAATAAAAGATGAATCTTCTTAAAACAGCTCTAAGCCTTCTGGTTTCCTTCAGCAGAGCTCAAGATGCAGTGAGGGCTTTGGCTGGATTCCTGAAGCAGGGAGGAATTGTGCTGTTCAGAGACTATGGCAGATATGATCTGGCACAGCTTAGATTTAAAAAAGGTGACCGTCTCTCGATCCATTAAACTCTGAGTCAGTCTTTTCACTTAATTAGTCATGTGTCAGCTGTGAAAACCTAGATACAGAGACCCTTTTTTTGTGTATTCCATTGAAAATGCATGTTAAACAAATTACATGGTATAAGTGCACAGTACACTTTTTTTTCTCTCACGTTAACATTTTGTCTCTTGTACCTCTTCAACTACACAGAGACATGTTTGATTAACTCACACTGGGTTTCATTTATCATTATTATTATTACAAAGTTCATTATTACAGTGATTCAGTCAATACAGTATACAACACCATCAATATATGTGACCCTGGAGCACAAAAGCAGTCTTAAGTTGTTGGGGTATATTTGCAGCAATAGCCAAAAATACATTGTATGGGTCAAAATTATCGATTTTTCTTTTATACCAAAAATCATTAGGATATTAAGTAAAGATCATGTTCCATGGAGATATTTAGTAAATTTCCTACCGTAAATATATCAAAACTTAATTTTTGATTAGTAATATGCATTGCTAAGAACTTCATTTGGACAACTTTAAAGGCGATTTTCTCAGTATTTAGATTTTTTTGCACCCTCAGATTCCAGATTTTCAAATAGTTGTATCTCGGCCAAATATTGTCCTCCTATCCAAACAAACCATACGTCAATGGAAAGCTTATTTATTCCGCTTTCAGATGATGTATAAATTTCAGTTTTGAAAAACTGACCCTTATGACTGGTCCAGTATGGTCCAGGGTCACATATGACATTATTTTGTTTTCTTTCCTTAAAAATGAACTGAATGTGTTAAAGTGAAAACACCAGATTAGTTATTTTTCTTTTAATCTCATGACGGTCCTAATATTGTATTATTGTGTTCTATTGAAAGTTGATTGATCTACTCTTGTATAACCATGCATGGCCACTTCCTACAGGCCAGTGTTTGTCTGAGAACTTCTATACGCGCCAGGATGGAACCTGTGTGTATTTCTTCACAAAAGGTAAAACTGTTTCAGCCGATTTGTAGATGTTGTTGTTAAATTCCTTCCATATTATTTTTGAATTCCATCCCGTTTTTGGCTCGTATAAACACCTACTATTCATGCTGAACATCCTGATCTCTTTACAGATGAGGTTCATCATTTGTTTTCTAATGCTGGTCTGGAGGAGCTTCAGAATCTGGAAGACAGGAGACTGCAGGTAAACCGAGGAAAGAAGGTGGTGATGCACAGAGTGTGGACGCAAAGCAAATACAGGAAGCCTTGTCTGATTTCAGACTGAGCTCTCAAAAGAACTGGGCTAAAGGCCTTAACTTGAACACAAAGTCCTATCAAGATTTTATGTGATAGACTTCAAGTATAGCAAATGATGGAGATATAACATTACAGAAACGTCAAGAACTCCATTTGTATGTTTCTTTTAACTTCACATGTGCCACTATTTGCCTTTGTTAGGTTTCAATAAATTGTAATGAATGCGTTGTCTTGTATTGCATTATTACGTAGTCGAGTGAATTAACATTATTGGAGCCTTGAAAGTTAACAGTAGTTCTTCTAAAAGACACTTTAGCGTTTAATTAAAGAAACATGCATAATATTTAGTGCTGGGCAATCGCAATTAATCGCATCCAAAATAAAATGTTTACATAATGTATGTGTGTGCACTTGTGTATATTTATTATATGTGTATATATAAATATGCACAAATGCATATATATTGTTTATATATTAAATATATTTATATAAAATATAAATTATATGAATATAAATATATACATGCAAATATTTTCAAAATATATACTGTATGTGTGTGTATTTATATACACATAAGAAATATACACAGTACACACACATACATTATGTAAACAAACACTTTTATTTTGGATGTGATTAATCGTTCACTAATAATATTATTTCATCACTAAAAAGCTGTTTGTTTGTTTTCTGAAGATTATTTGTGTACTGCTATACTGTTTTAGTATTTATTAGAACAAAATATGCAAACTGTCCATCATCTCAGAAAGGCCAGTTCGATCCTTGCAACTTGATAGTGTCACAAAATATTTTATGATGCTTGTTCTTCAAACATGTATTTGCTCAAGCTTTTATTGAATGGTTTGCGATGTGGTATATTTATGTTTTTATTTGTTATGTTTTACATGTTTGCAGTGGCAAGTTGAGTTTCCAAGAAATACATTTGTTTAAAAAAAATGTTTATTTGACATTTATTTCACAAATATACTCCACAGTCATAATAATTATAAGATGTGTATCTTATGCACATTATGAGTCATTGTATTTGTAAATTACATTGCATGAGATCGCATAGGAATTAATTTTTATTAAAGAAATTGTCTTTGTCATTGTATGTTATAGGCATAACCGTGAGTGAGTGAGTGAGTGTGTGTGTGTGTGTGTGTGAGAGAGAGAGAGAGTGAGTGTGTGAGGGTGGG